CTCAGAGTTTGTTACTTAATGTGACACGTGGTCTGCAATGCAAACCTGGGTAGTTCTGTGAACAAAATGTTCTTTTTTTTAGGAGGCGTGGTCCAGGAGGCCTATATCTCCCGGGGTAAAATACAGCCTGATAATGGAACACGGCTGAATAGAAAAGCCACATACTCTTCCTGTCTGAACAACCTATGAGTGGAACCCGAACTGTGGCTCAGAGATTCCAAATAAAATATCCAAAATAAAGAATATGTTACCACTGTCATTGTATTAAATACATTATTGTCTTGTAAATATGAAAATTAACATTTGAATTCCAAATATAGATTTTTTTAATAACCTTACAACTACCAGTAAATTCACAGTCCAACTTCAGTTCACTAAAATATGTTAATCTCAAAGAAATTTAAATTAAGAGAACATAAAACAAATATTCAACATTTATTTATCCTCTCTCTCCACAAATAGCCCAATAAAATGGCTCCAGTTTAGTGGATGGAGCTACACTGTAAAAACCAGAAAACTTTCTTCTTATCAGTTTGTTTTAATTTTCAACAATCTGTGTGGTCCGGCTGCTGTAGTGCAGGACAAAGGCCAAATGCTATGACAATACTATTGCACTGCTTTAGCGCATGGTACAGTAGTGCAACATTGTCAAAGCAGCTGACCTCTGCATGCTGGGACACACAGACACTCACAAAAACAAGAGTAGCTGTACCACACACACACACCTTGCTCTTTGAATACACAACAGTCAACCACAAAATAAAGCGTCCAACAATTGACCAATCATTCCAACTCAGTAGCAATTCTGCACCGTTTTATTTCTGTGTAAAAAATAATTTGAAGTTTACAGCAGGAAGGGCCAAGATGGCAGTGTGTGTCGGCCAATGCCCTTTTAATATTGCACTGCTCATGTGATTTCACAGTAGTACAATAGAAAAAGGGCTTTGAACTACATGATTTCTATTCAGTGCATCAAACTCTCACAGGAACACCAGTATGCAACACCTCACCTCCATCAATATGTTGTAGACAGTGGTGGGGGCTGCAACAAGCCTCCTCGCAGCTATCATGATTAACATGTTGCAAGCAGACAAGCAGCCGTGAAACAACCAAAACAGGCTTAAAAAGCCTACTGTGTGATCCTAGTGTTAAATGCACAGGCCCCAAAAAGAGCATAAAATCTATGCAAATGGGGAAGGGTGCTGTTACGCTCTGCATGGTATCATTTCTACACAATAAGAGAATATTAGAAGACAATGTATCTGTGGATTTGTTCCAGTCAGCGTTAAAACTGCAGGGAAACAGGCATGGAACCAAACAGACAGGCGAAGCTCTTCCTATAGACTGCAGCAGTAACTGAGCTCTGCTGGGAGGAAACGAGGGAGGAGAAAACATATATAGGGCAAAGAGCACATTCCGAGATACAATACCAGAGACTTTCATTTAATACCTACTATTCCTGTCCCTTTAGCCAAAGTGGCAACGTGAAACCCTCCTCTTTTAGGAAACCGTGGTGTGGGGGAGTGGGTGCAGAGGAGAGGGGGCACGGTGAGGGGGCTTTGTTATTTCCAATGTCAGTAGCCGTTTCCAATCAGCTGCAGAACTCATTTTCCTGCCAGGACCCTCATAATCCAGCCATGCAGTGGCAGCAAAACAAACAACAACAAAAAAAAAAACAAGTTCCGACCACAAGCAGCGACCAGACTCCATGTCGTCCAAAGCACAACAGGCTAGGCTACCAACGCTACATGGAAACCCGGAGATATGGGATCTCTTCCCCGATAGGACAGCAGGGTTACACGGCTGCTTCACCGACGCTGCTGCCGCTTCTTCTTCGTGCTTTCCTGTCCCAACAGATCGAGCCCGACACGCTGAAGCCACGCTCAGACCTCACATTCCTACACTTCCATCCGCAACTCAAACAAACACAAGGGCATGTGGCTCCGGGCCACATCCACAACGGAGCACAGCTGAACTGAGCATTTCTTCTAAGACCCTCTTTTCCACATAAACATGCTAACATTGCACAGCCTCGTTATTCCACTCTGCAACAGCAAATAGCAGCTCAGAACTCTGTGGACTTCTATGAAATGATAGAATCTAAATGTTGACATGTTTTATAAAACCGTCTCCTGTAAGGAGCAAATTCTGAACAGAGAATTGTGTAATTATTAAGTTATAAAAGCTTTAATAACTAGCTTATTAAAGCTATATATTGGCTAATTAAGAAACATTTTTCTACGGGGTCAGGGGACTTTTGTGTACCCATGGATCGTACTGCAAAAGTGGTGGACCTTAACAGTAAGTTAGGTTTGACAAAGAAAGAAAGGGAAAGAAAGAAATTAAGAAGGAAAGAAAAAGAAAACTTGCCTGTCACCTACCTGTCAATCACTATCTTTGTCAACAAGCTCTCTCGCACGCTTTTACTTCAATCTCACTCAAATCAATGCGCGCGCACACAATAGCAGCTCCACAGTAGTGAGCAGCAACTGCTCCTAAAATCTCCGCCGTGGTCAGTCAGACCCACCAGCACCCACGCTGTGCGCGAGCAGCATGCCATCTCCTCCCCCCATAGCGGCCAGCGGTTCTGCTGAGCGATACCTGGCGCTGGCAGGGCCGGTCCGTAGCCTCCGGCTCACCCTGCACAGGCTCAGCGGAGCTCTGCTGATGGGTTCAGCGGACAGTTGCAGCCCGCTCTCACCGCCTTCTTCTCGCACAGCCGTCCTAACAATCCGCCGCAGCGACTCCTTGTCGGGGGAAACGCTGTTTCGTCCACTGGCAACCCTACGGCCTCCCAGCTTTGGACTCCATCTTTGACTAGTTGACATTCAGCTCTTGCCGAGACAAATTCCTTATTTGAATACCAGTTTGCCATTGGTTCAATTTACCTCTTCTGTCTGCTCTCATTGGTAGAAAATTTATCCCATCACCTCCATGATTGGTCGAATACGAAAGGGGGCTGTCATTGTATAGTTAAATTTTAACAATGAACACAAATTATCCTTTCCATTCACAATTTTATCATTACCCGCCTTTGAGGAGCTGCTTGCTCTTCTAGCGTTTCAAGGGAACGAATATATAAACATAAGACAGCAACAGCTGTCTCCGCTGCAGCTGTATTATCAACTGCAGGGGAAATGGCAGTAAGAAAGATCTCCATATGTGATCTGCTGCATCAAATGCATCAGTGGAGATCATTCACGATACCAGCAGTTCAGCAAAGAAATTAGCCTACTTACAGGAGCCAACGATTTCCACGGAGCAGAAAATCAAGCCTGACTGGGAAAGTCATTGTTGTTGACGTGGGAAAAGTTCTATTAGAGGAGGCCAAAGGTGATCCATATGTCGCGCTGATTGGGTGGGACGGAGCAGTGGTGTGTGCAGTGCAGAGGATGGGGTGGGAAAAGGTTAAAGGCGGCGAGCCTCTTTGGAGGTGCAGTGGTGGACGCTCGGAAGAGGGCAGCGGCCTGTGAAATCTGACATTCCTGACCAAGGGAGCTGAAATAATGGCATTGTCCGGCGGGAAAGACCCGCCTCCACAGCAGTGGGCTGAGGTGCATGCTGCAAGTTTAACGCCAGATAGAGTGTCTGTGGAATCAATTTCTTTTTTCTGGAGACGTGACAATGAACCATCTTTTTATTTGTAAAATTGTTTATTTTACTTTTGGATTTTTCAAAAGTGCACCTTGATATGTAGAAGAGAAAGAGCTAACAGAGTGCGAATGAAAAACTTGGTTTTCCTTGTTCTTGTCAACAAAGTCTGCTGGATTTGATTTAAATGCCTCCACCCAACCCCCGTGCCCCATCCCCCAGCTCCAATGAGCGGTAGCTACAGCACATTTTATAATCAAGGAGTTAAACACTAATTTGACATTAAAATAATAATAATAAAAAACTTAAAAGACCAGAAAATGCCAGAGAGAACCGAACTTGGACGGACCGGAAGGCTGAGACATCTCTCTTGTTCAGTCTTATTTCCTTTCTTGCTCTACCCTCACTTTTGAGCAGAAACCTGACTGCCATGACGTGCTTTAGATGCTATGTTAGGCACGCGCGTTCATGTGCGCTCCTGCTCATGAGAACCGTGCCCGAGCACAAAGCGGCGGTGCTGAAGTGGGGCCGCAGGAAGCGCTATGCCCATATATAGTAGTGACGGCTGACTGATTACGTTGCAGCCGCATTTGACATGAGGCTGCAGCAGAGACAGAAACTCTGTTCATCCGTCCGGCTTCGCTGCCTTATTTCATTTTCAATTAGCCATCATTGTTTTTAGGGTGAATTTAACTCTTAAGGTGTCAGATCATCTTTAACCAAGAGATTATTAAGCTTGCTACTGAAAAACCTGTTAAATCTTTAAATTTGTTTAATTCTGCCTTCTGGCGGGTGCACAAATATTTCAAACCTAACCACATTCATTTCTGGGACACATAACCCCTCTCCCTTCTAAGAAGAGTGACTGAAGAGTGCTGCTTATACTAGCATTAGTACCAGGGCCCGTCGGATACATGAGGGGGCAGGTGGGCATCATTACACATATATATTTTGCTCCATGATATTTATTAACATTACTGCACAGCAAATTGTGAAGTGTATATGTTACACTTTAAGAGTAAAGTTTACACCGAACTCGGTGATCATTTGGGTCCAAATTCCCAGTGTTGAAAACACTCGACATGGGAGTTAAAAAAAATAACACTCAAATAGTGTACAATTCTAACACTTTAAGAGTATAAATTAACTCCATTACCGATATAATTTGACTCTTTCAAGACTGATAGAGCACAAAATAAACTCTGTCAGAGTGTCTAAACTATATGATATGGAGTACAATGTACCATGGAAAATAGAGTTTATCCATCACCAAAACAGAGTTAATTCTAGCTTTAAAGAGTTGATTTTTGACACTTGTATTATTATGTACTATAGCTCTAAATGCTCTTACAAAGATACATTAGAAACATTAACTCTTTCATTAAAAATAATACATGACTGAGCAAACAGAAAGTCCAAGTATACTTTATTTTAGTTTAGTTTGCAGCATTATAGGTATACAGTAACTGAAGCAAATTAAAGGACATCCTTTATATAAACATTCCATTTTAAATACAAGAATTGTATAAACTTCTAGCACTGGACAGTACTATGCTCCTTAGTGATTATGAACAAGGACCACCCCAATTAACAAAATGTGAAAGTGTAAAAAATAGACAAGCTTCAGTGGTACACTTTAGCAGTATTGTGTAATTTTTTTCTACAACACAAACATCTAAGTTTTTCAAACAAGTTAATGTGAAATAGAGCTTTTCTACAAGAACCTACAAGAGCAAATCCTGTCTCAATATCTTCTACAACAGCATGTACCATATACAGATCTGAATATTCCAACTTCAAACTTGGAACCCACAATGAGACCAAAATACTCCATGGCATCACATGCAACCCAAGATATCACATCAACATCACAATTCATGTCAGCGTGTATGTTTTCTGCCACAATGTCCTCATTTGTTTACTCACTTTCTCACTGTCTTTACATTTCCATAATCAATGCAGTTAAAACACAACAACTCCCAGTGGTATGCTATTGCAATCTGTTTTTGGGGCATTAGTGCACATACTGTTCAATGAAGAGTTCGTCAGAAGCTAAAATTTATGACTTAGCCTTGCAGGGAATGAGTTGACGATCCACAACTATGGAGTAGTCATTGATGGTGAAATGCTCCAACCGCTAAAACGTAGTAGGGCTGCCTCCCCTGGACTGAGCTTGTCATCTCTCGAAGGCTGCGGCATGACAAATAAATTTTTCAGTGGAACAAAAGTAAATCAGATAATAGCATTTCAACTTTGCGGTAAGACACACTTTACTAAAAGTTGGGTTGACTTACTTTGTGAAACTGGACATCTTGGCTCAGAGCTTCTTGAACAGATCTTCACAACCCTCTTCTCCCTCTGGGTGGTGGAGGCAGGAGGTACATAAACAGCAACAGTAATAAAAAAAATCTTTATTAAAATACAAGTTGAATGACCAAACTTCATTCAGAAACTATTCCCACATAATTGCATATAAAAGTGATTTTACATAAATAGTGAAAATATTACCTCTTTGGACTGCGAGAAAATGTCATCACTTGAATCTCTTCTTGGGGATGTCATCAAGGTGTCATCACCATTGAGAGGACATGAACAACAGCTCACTGATGAACGTGATGAGAAAGTGTCTACGCATGAAGACTCCTCTGCAGACTCTAAGGAGAAACCAGAAATACAAAGAGACAGTGGACTACCATTAAATAATTTGTGCCTACAATAACAGAATGATTTTTGCTATGATGTCAGTGAAGCATAAAAACGAAACAACTTTTGGACTTCCTGTGCCTCAAAAGTTTTAACTATGTTAAGTATTATAGACCTAATTTTATTGTCCAACTATTACCTTTGACAGAAAAGGCATCTGTGATGTTCCAGACAACGCTGGATTTTTCCTCCGGAATGTCACTTATGTCTTCAACTTCCGACCCAGTTTCATTCACAAGACATACATTTGTTTCTTCAGGGATGTTAAGCTTCTCTTTGGCTGTAAACATACATTCATTTTTGAAAATTATTAAAATGCTCAAATACAAGTCAAATTGAATGAATGAAAAAACATTACCTTGTCTCAAAAATGTTGAATATGAGGCTCCATTGAGCTTGATGTAGCATGACTGTCATGCATATTGGACTTTAGAGAGCACCATCACAAATGTCTGGAAAAAAACATTACTTAAACAGTGAGTTGGTTTTGTTTACACCATTGTCACCTCCAAAAAAAAAAAAAAAAAAAAAAAAAAAAAAAAAAAAAAGAAAACCCCTTTAGGGGTTTAAAGGGTTTTGGGGGGGGGGGGGGGCCCTTTCACTTTTCCCC